GTTTCAGGCCTCCGGGCCACACTGAGGATATTGTGTAGGCACTTATACACTGAGAGAAACAGTTAAGTTTTCACAGAAGTTTTTGTTTTGTTAGTGAAACCTAAATACGACTACCACTAACACCAGAGAGCGATTTTTTGGTAATGCCATTCTACTAATGTAAACAGCGGAGTTCTTTCTGGGGGTGGTAACATTTCTCTTAGTGGGGTTCAAAGTCAGTACCCCCGTCACCCCATCATCACATCAACTGGAGACGTTCGGTGGTACAGATCCTTAGGAGCTCGAGGTCGCCCGAAAACAAGCCAAGGGCCTGGGGACCGCGGGTGCTCACCTCTGGCCCGGGCGGGGCTCCTGGGGGGCTCTGGGACCCAGACTCTGCCCGTGGGGGGGCCCCTAGGGTCCCAGGGACGCACGGGGACAGTGCGCAGAGGCGTCTGTGGGAACAGCGCAGAGCAGGGCGGGGCGTTTGGAAACAGTCCCATCAGACCTGGTGCAGTGGGGCCGGAGCTCACGAGAAAGGTGGCGAGACGTGAGGGGCCGAGTTTCTATTTTAATAGCTGTTGACTAATTTCCCCCTAAATACTCATCGGGGCTGGTGGCTGCCATGTTGGGCTGCGCAGGTCTCAGCCGGACGGGAGTGAACAGCCTTGTGGGTCCCCCTGCCCCGAGCCGGGAGGGCTGTCCTTCCCCAGCGGCACAGGGTCCTGGGAGCGGCGGTCACAGCTCGGGACCAGGGAGCGCCACTTCGGGGGTGAGGAAGAACCGTGGCTGGTGACGCAACAGCTTAGGCGTCCAAAGACACGCTTTCGAAGCAGTTGAAAAACAGTTGTTTATTTTCCAGTGGAATATCTCAGACACAGCCCTGCCAGCTTGTTTACATAATACGTTGACTCTGTGAAACTTGTTTTATAAACTGAAGTCCAGCTGTGGTCAAGCTCCCCAGAGTTAATGAGGTCCGGCCAGACGTAAGCTGTTGTTGGGGTCCCTGCTTAGGCCTGTGTGGGCTGTTACATTCTGGCCTCTGTTTGTAGTGCTTTCTTTCTTTATTTTTAAAGGTTTTATTTATCCATTTTTAGACAGGGGAAGAGAGGGAGAAGAAAGGTAGATAAACACCAATGTGTAGTTGCCTCTCATGTGCCCCCTACTGGGGACCTGGCCCACATCCCAAGCATGTGCCCTGAGTGGGAATCGAACCAGCGACCCTTTGGTTCGCAGTCTGGCACTCAGTCCCCTGAGCCACACCAGCCCGGGCTGTTTGTAGTTCTTACACACAAATTCCAGGCCTAAGCTTCTGGCTTTTTTCCTTCCCTTAAGCTCGGGTAGATTTTGGGAGGGGCTGAGGGTGGGGCGAGTGCCTAGTCTGAGTAGAAATCTAAGCCTGATCCGTAGATACGTTTGATTTCTTGAAACTCTCAGGTTCTGTAGTTTGTTACTATTTTAAGATTCCAGAGTTGTTTCTATGTATAATTAATTGACAGAAGACTTTGTCTAGCACTCAGAGGTGATCGTTCTGACTTCCAGCCACGTTTAACGTTAGTTATCTAGAAATGTGCTCCGTAAGGTAGGGTTGTTTTTGAGTGGGGAGGTAGTTGTGATTTTAATGAAAAATGGCACCTCTGTTTCCAAGCCCTGCATAGACGGTAGAACAGCAGCCCTCACGATCCCCGCCCCCCCCATTCCTGAGCTCAGGGACCTGCACCTCCCCCTGAATGACAAGGGGGGAGATTCTGTGTCTGGTCCGTCCACTGGCCTATTTTTGCAAGACTTGGTGTTGTGAATGCTGAGGGGGGAGGCTGTGCCCCCGTGTGACACCGCAGGAGGGACTCGGTCCGAGTTCAGGTGTTGAAAAGCACGTTCCACGGTGACTGCCCTCCGGCACTTACGTGACCGCCTTCAGGTCCCACTGCCCTCAGCCAAACCCCTGAGAACAGAGATGGCCCTGTGGTCTGTGAGGCTGCCAGAGACCCGAGAGCGAAGACCCAGTTGGGAGAGGCAGGAGGCGTCCCCCAGGCCCCTCACTGACGTTCCAGAATGTCTGCTGCCCCGCACGGAGCCCCAGGTGGTCCCCCAGCTGTGGTCCCCCCACCCCCGTTTGTGTGGCCTGTCCCTGGACCGACCTCATCCTTCCTGTCTGCCCAGACCCGCTGAGCATTCTCGCTGCGGCCTGAGTGGCTGTCAAGTGCCGCTCTCCCCGCCCCCGCCGGGAAGCTGTGGGCAGCCGCTCGAGGTCCTCGGGCTCAGCGGGGCACTGCTGCCCCGGTGCAAGCCCCCGCCTGTCTTTCCAGTCTCGTGGTCGTTTACTGAGCTGCTTTCTCCGTCCCGCTCTGTGCCAGGCTGTCTGCTGGGGACAAGAGATGAGCAAGTGCCTTTCACAGGAGAGCACGAGGAAAGGTAAAAAGAAACCACGAAGTCAGCTTCACTGGTGTCTTATTTAACCTATTACGTCCAAAATATCACGGTTTTAACGTGGGACACCAGCCACATCTCAAGGCTCAGCAGACACGTGGCTGGTAGGTGCCACGTGGTCTCGAACCAGAGCGAACAAGTAGGAAACCAGGTGGGTGAGCAGGGTGGTCCCGGCCCGGCCTTGTTTCCCTGGGGGTCACCCTGCTAGATTGCGAGCCGCATCAGGCAGGGTGTCGCCCTGTCGTGATCGCCATGTGTCTCCAGCGCCTACTTTAGTACTTGGCACGTAGTAGGTGCTCAGTAAATGTTACCAGGTGAACTACTGAGTAAGCACAGGAACCCACAGGAAAAGCTGGAATGAGCGCCTCACCCACGTGAGAAGGCTTCCGGGAGACGATGCCCCAACCCAGCCCGCAGAGTCGGACTCGAGGCTGGCGGGTCCAGAGCGGCGGGGAGAGTGTTCGCAGGGGGCAGAGAGGCAGGTGCCGCACTCGGGGGTAAGAGGAGGCAGCAGGCTGAGGGGGTTCCTGTAGCTCGCTGCAGCCCTGGCTGAGGGTACAGGTGGAAGTGGAGAAGGTGTTGAGAAATGGGGCTGGAGGAGGGACCAGGCCGGACGGTAAGGGGTTTACAGCTGAGCTGCAGAATCGAGACATTATTCTGAGGACGTCAGGAAGCCTTACTGGGGACCCAGGCTGGGAGCGGCCCCGAGACTTTCTGTCGCGTGTCTCCGTCCTTCGTGTGTGGTGGTCTCTCCCTGCACACCTCCCGGCACATGGAGGGGGCTCCCTGAGAGTGTCACGTTCCCATGCAGCCTGACCAGGCCCCTGCTGGGAGGGGAAGCTTGGGGAGGAGGGGCAGGTGCTGTTTGGATGCGGGTCAAACGCCGTCCTAGTGATCGGGAAGACAGACGGGCAAGAGCAGCTTTCTCCACGTGCTACATCAGGTGTTGACGGATGGAACGTGCTTTTCAAAGGTGGCCCTTCGCTGGGGGGCAGGGACCTTCCGGAGCTTTGATGAGTGCGTTGAGCCTGGGTCTTTGAGAACTGCCCTCGCCGGCACTCGGCCCATGGCGCTCAGGACCTGGTGTTCCTGGCTCGCCCCGAGCGAGTCCTGTCCCCTTGCCGGCACCGGCAGAGTCCTGGAGGTCGGGGCGAGTGTGGCAGGGGGTTGTTTGCCGGGTGGTGGGTTGGGGAGTAAAAAGCGTTGGTGAGACTTTGTGACAAAGAGGAGTCAGTAGTGACTCTCGTGGGTTATGTGCTGTTTCCACACCCCTTCATTATGTCTCAAGGAAAGGTCAGGAATGGATTAAAGATGACCTCCTAGGGAAATGAAAATTAATTCTCCACAACCAATTTTGACTCTTTTATCAGTCCTTACCTACCCTTCTCTGCAATATGTCAGGAAATAGAGCTTAAAAAAAAATTACAGCTGCTCTTTGTCAAATGAGAGACTATGGTTTTTGACTGAAACTTGTCAGCAGTGATCACATCTGGTCTCAGCATCCAACACACTGGTCTTGTGGCTTCAGAATGCGGACTCGGGGTGCTGTTGTTGTGTGTGGTTTCGGGGGGCAGTCCAGGACGGCTGGGAGTGCAGGCGGAGTCCTCCGAGAGGGTGGCCTCTGCTGCCCGAGAGCCGCCGTACCCGGCGAGGATCAGAACTTATGAGGAGTGAGTGACAGGTTCCGTTCTCACGAGCCCCCGCGGCCCAGCTGCGGGCCGGGCTGCCCTCCTGTCTGTGCAGCGATCCCGTGGTCAGAGTCACTGTCCCAGTGTACGAATGCCGTCTCCGTCCTGCCCCAACTACAAGTGACGCCTCTGGTGTCCCTCGTGGGGTTTCACTGGGGTGGAAGGAAACCGCCCGGTCCTGTGTGCGCCTGCAGGGCTGCGGTCCAGCCCTCGGTCTGTAAGTCACCGCGTAGTGTCACAGGGCTGCTGTGCCAGGCATTCGAAGTGCCGTATACCGCTGCTGTGTCGCGGTTGGTCTGTAAATATTTGCTGAATGTCAAATACAATACCTGAGCGTGTCTCTTGAATCACTCAGCCTTGCAAAGGAGGTATTGTAGCTCCGGCTTTCTGGAAGGGAACTCTGAGGTTTGGCAAGGACTGGGAATGTGCCTTCCAAACCAATAAACAAATAGATGTATTTGGGTTTTCTCAAGTCCGGAGTGCTGTGCCTTGCCCCGGCCCGTGCGGCCTCTGGCGGGGGTTGTCTGGTGCTAGACGGTGGCTGCGTTTGGGTGGGGGTGTGGCGTGGCACTCTGCCTCACCACGCGCCGGCCGCTCCTCCTGCCCACCATCTTCCCCTGTGTTGGGGGGCAAAGCGCACGCCCCCACGCCCTGCTGGTTCACAGGGGCGCTGAGACTCGGCAGCGGAGGAGCTGGTCCGAGTTCACCGGTTTCTCTGCAGAAGCCCAAGGTCCCACAGGCGGTGCGCACAGAGGCGGCTCAGGGGCTTCGGGTGGGTGGGGCACTCGGGGGTGCCCACGCTTGGTGACCGCCCGAGCCTCCCGAGGGATTCTCACCTGGCTGCTCTCCGGTACCTGTGACCCAAGCCCAAACCCTGTCTCACTTAGTGTCTTCTCTTTATCTTAGGCGTTGGACGTGGACCGGATGGTTCTGTACAAAATGAAGAAATCCGTGAAGGCGATCAACATCTCTGGGCTGGGTGAGTACGCGCCTCCCTCCCGAGGGGCTTCTGGGGATGTCGACTCCCGTTAATGAGCGAAGGACCCCACCGCTCTCTCCGGGCGTGCCGATAGGCTGCAGGCCAGCGTGTGAAAGCCAAGCCCATAAAACTTCCTAAAGAACAGATGGGGGCGCATCTGTGCAGCCGGGGCAGGCGGAGGTTTTTCTCAGCTCGGACCTGGGGAGCAGTGACCGAGGAGGAGAAATGATGGGCTCGTCCCAGTGAAGACCTTCCGCTCCGTCACAGGCCACAGTGAGAGCAGCCTGACCTCTGAAACGCCCCCAGATCCGGAAACGGAGGAGCTTGCACTGGGGGCCCCCAAATCAGTGATGCGGCAATAGAACAGAACAGGCGGCTCACGTCCTTCCAGGGGCAAGGAGGGTCGTCACTAAATTACAGAGATGGGAGAGGATGCTAGTGAAAAAGAGCCAGTAAAAGGCTCGGGGAATAAACTGATTGTTGAAGTAAAACCTAAAATTTGCTAAATTGCCACCTAGGAAGAAGGAGCAGGGAGGCCCCCAGTTCCTCAAACACGACTCAAGGAGTCACAGGGACGAATACGGTGGGAAGTAAAAATGGCGGCACGTGGAGAACGGACCCAGGAGGAGCCGTGGCGGCATCTGCCTAACGGGCTCCAGGGAGGGAAAGGGACTTGGGGGGCGGGGGGGGCTCGGAGAAACTGTCATCCAGGAATTCCCTGAACCGAAGGAAGATTTACCATCTCAAATTTGGTCCACCCAAACCTAAGCCGAACAGTGTGTGTGTACATGGGTGTGCGGGTGCTCATGTGGGTGTGTGTGAGTAGGTATGCACACATGTCTCAAGACATGTATTACTATCTTGACAGCAGGGAGAAAAAGAAAGTGTAAAATTTAGCAAGAGGTGGGGAAAAGCAGGTGCTTTTACATATGTATATTTGCTCTCCCCTATATATATATCTGTGTGTATGTGTGTATATATATATATATCTGTATATACCTACATCTGTATGTCTATATATATAGATATTTCCCAGATAGATAGATAGATGTCTATTTAGGGAAAAATGCTTAAAAAGAACTTTTAGGGTTTTGACTTTTTAGATATCTTTCTTCCCTTTATTTTGCACATTTTTTATGTAGTAATTGTATTGACATGAAAATGATTAGACAGGTATTAGGTTGTTTGTGCTAAATGCCAAATGAATGGAAAATAAGTTCAGGAAAGCAAATAAGAGAGGGGACTCATGTTGTTCTCAACCGAACCAGTTCCCAGCCGAGTGGGGCAGCCCTGGGGCCCGGGGCTGGTGGTGGTGGTGGGCGGTAGTGTCGTGCCCATAGGTTAGATCGCTGATCCAGACCCTCTGCCAGGAGGCTCTTGGCTGCTGCCACCCCTCCCCCCACATCCGGTCCTCAACAGCTGTGTGTCTATGTGTGTGCACGTGTGTGGGGAGTCGGCATCTAATGCTCAGAGGTCGGGGTGCTGCTGCACGTCCCCTGACGGGCAGGACCACCCCCAGCAAAGAGCCACCCACTCCACATGTCCACAGTCCCAGGGTGGAGAAGCCCTCATCTCCATGTTCTGCCAAGTCCTGTACAATTAAAAAACAACAACAACGACAAAACGAGGACAAAAGCCATCACCATGCCTGGCTTGCCCGTACGTAAATACTGATGGATTTATCAACGGATTGACTGATTGCCTGACAACCACTGGTTCTACGGAAGGAGGGGATCGAGCTGGTTTCCAGTGACCAACCCCTGGCCGGAACTGAGCCGGGGTTGGGAAATCATTGCTATTTTATTAAAAAGAACCACAGAGGAACGGATAACACGCTCTCCACTTCACACAGCACCGCGAGTGCTGGAACAGGCGTTCGAATACCCAGAACGGAAATGGCCTGCCTTGGGCTGTTTCCCGGGGAGGTGACGGTGCAGGGGAGTGATGGAGGTGGCGTTCGTCTGTGTCAGGCACTTCCTGTGCACGGTGCTCACCTTTGCCGCAAACCGTTCTCAGTTTAACCTGAGCCCAGAGGTTAAAGGTGTTAAGACATTCCCTGGTTGGCTTCCTGCTGGCCTGGGGTGGGGGGTGTTGGGTGGCCCTTCTTCAGTGAAGCCCCCCACGTTCTCCCTGCGTGCCGTCTTCAGGACTTCCAGAAGTCGGTAAGGGATGGACACTCCCAAAAGTAACCTAAGAGATATGTTTATTTTGTTCCCTTGGGCTTTTGAGTTTATAGTTTAAAGCTGGTGTAAAAGCGATGTTTTACATTCTGATCAGGTTCAGAAGTGATGGTAAAGTCATCTGGAAGGCTGAGCTTAGACATAAAAACGGAGGAAGGAGCTGCTTGTGCAGACCTGGGCCGGGGGCCGGCGCTCATCTGCGGAAGGAGCCGTGTCTCTGGAGACGAGCCCCGCGCCGGCCTCTGCGCACGCAGGCCGGCCTTAGACGGGACCCGGTGCGGCACTTGGCCAACCGAGCTCCCCGTGACTCTGATCTTCCTTTCTGAGCCGTACTTCTGAGGGGGGGTAAGAACCTCGTCTAGAATTTTAGGGAGGTCAGGTAGAGCACAGGTGAGTGGGTTTCTCTTCCTGCGAAGAGATTAAAGCTTTAATGCTGGGGTGGATGTGAGGGGGCTGGGCCCCAGCCTTCCCCGGTTTATTTGCCTGTGAGATGCCACAGCCTCCCTTCGTCAGCCCACCCAAGCCCACCCCAACCCAGCTCGGCAGACATGGTGGGAGGATCCCAGATGCGTCTCCGCTCTGGGCATCGCCTGGACCCAGGCCCCCCTGTCCGGAGGGCCCCCCAACCCTCTGGCCCTTCTGGGCACTAACAGTTCACCCCCGAGTGCCACATTCAGTGCCCTCTTCCCCTGCACATGCTCTTCCGTCCACTCGAAATGGCTCTCGGGGTCACCTGGACTGCGTCCTGCCTGAGCTGCCACTCCTGCGGGTGGCCGTCAGCCAGACCTTGCGGGGGTCTCCTGTTCTCGTCTCTTCCCTGCTTCTTCTATCGTGCCAAACTTGACTTGTTATGAGGCCACAAGTCTGAACCTTTTTAAGGCCAGAGTACCGACCCTGCAGTCTTTACCCTGAACAAGTATTGTCCACTTCAAAAAAGAAGCCACCCGAGGACACCCTGTCCGCTTTGCTGCAGCAGTCCTGACGTCACTCGTGGCATTTTTGGAACTCCACTCTGGCACTGCTGTGCGTAGCCACCTTCTTTTGCATCTGTTTAGCCGAGGAGTCTACAGGTAGATGGAACGTCTTGGGAACTGGACGTCACGCAAGCGAGGCCCAGCCAACAGGGGGCTGAGCGGCTGGAGATGCCCATCTGTCGGGGGCGGTGCATTTCAAGACTGAACCCCGTGGTGTCTGGTCCCCAGGGTGTGCTGTTGGGCACCTGCTGTGAGTTCCTCGCCGTCCTCCCTCCCCATGTGGAGGGATGAACTTCCCACCTCGGATGGAAGCCTTGTGTGAGTGGCAGACCCTGCCATCTGCTGGGCGGGGATTTTTGTAGGTTTCTGTGGAAGGGCCGTAGAGTAGCCGGCTGTGTTTTTACAGCCTGTGGGCTGAGCACAGTGTTTATGTCCTTACTTGGTACCTACGGCGTAGCCCACTATTGCCTCTTGGCCCGCAGAGCTTTTACCATCCACTCTCTGGCTTCGTGGGGAAAGGTGTGCCAGCCCTGCCTTCAGGGAGCGGATCCGAGAGCCCGGCGTGTCCCGGGTCTCACTAAGTCACAGACTGCGGGCCCCACCCTCAGCCTCAGGGCCGGCAGGGGCAGGGTGGGGTCCGAGCGTTTGCTAATCAGCCAAGTGCTCGGTGATGCTGACCCGCTGGCCTTCTGGCTCTCTGAGCAGCACCACGGCGGCCGCAAGGACAAGCGCCTGGCAGAGGGCGGCAGAAGGGGAGCAAAGGAAAAAGATCTTTCTAAGAAAGACCGGTGTGATGTGAAAGCACCAGCTGTGTTCAGTGTAAGAAATCGTGGGAAACACTAGTCACGAGAACTCAGGGAACCGAGGGCCCGTCGGACGGTCTGAAGGGCCTTGTGTTTGTGGTGAGCCTCGCTGATCTGCAGAACAGTGAAGCTGCATTTGGAAAACTCAGGCTCATGACTGGGGACCGTCAGGGCCAGAACTGCCGGCTAGTCTGCACGGCATGGGCCTGACCCATGACAAAATTTGCTCCATGGTCCACCCACGGCAGACCACGACGGAAGTGCGTGTTGATGTCAAGACCACCAATGGGCATTAGGTTCGTCTCTCCTGTGTTGGTTTTACCAAAACACGCAACGATCAGATTCAGAGGACCTCTTGCTCAGCATCGCTCCACAGGCCCGCTGAATCTGGAAGAAGGTGATGGAAATCGTGACCCGAGAGGCGCAGACAGACGGCTTGAAAGAAGTGGTCAGGGAGTTGATCCCAGCCAGCACTGGGGAAGGCCTGCCCGCCCGTGTATCGCTCCCTGACATCTTTGTTGGGGAAGTCGAAGTGCTGAGGAAGCCCAGGTTTGAGCGGGAAGACTCACGGAACTTCACGGTGAAGGTCACGGTTCTGGAAAAGCGACTGGGGCTGAGACAGGTGCCACAGGTGAACGAGCTGATGGAGGTGAGCCCCCCCTCGGTCCAGGAATCTGCTTAAAATCCAGACATGTAATGGTGACAAATAAAAAGGCCTATTTGTGATATTAAAAAATAATACTGCCATAGACACACACGTACACACGCACCCTCTTGCACACGCACATACTCACAGACTTGTACACGTACTTACACACCAGCACACAGAACACACACACCCTCTTGTACACGCACATACTCACAGACTCGTACACGTACTTACACACCAGCACACAGATCACACAAGGCGCCAGTGTGTCCCCCGTGCATTCAAAGCAGTGGTTTTCTGACACAACAGCCAGTGTGTCACGTTGCCTGTCACTTTCCGAAAAGGTGACGGCCCAGCCAGAGGTATTTTTTGGAGTGACTTGTGTGCAGTTTTG